ATGTAGATGTAGTTCCATTGAGGTCTATATGTTGCGTATATTTGGTCAGCTAGTTATGAATCCATGTCCTGATGGCGCGGTCTATCCCACATTTTTCTATCTCACCAAGAAGTAGATTGTGGTCTACTTTGTCAAATACCTTACTGAAGTCCAAGTATACCATGTACATAGCATTTCACTAGTCCACTAATTTAGTCACTTTGTCAAAGAATGCAATAAGATTTTTCTAGCATGATTTGTTTTTTGTTTTTTGTTTTTTTTTGACAAACCCATATTGACCTCTAGTAATAATTTTACTGGTTTCTAGATGTTCACAGAGCTGTTGCTTAATTATCTTTTCCAGGATCTTCCCAGGTATTGATGTCAGACTGATTGGTCTGTTGTTTTCTGGATCCATTTACCTCCCCTCCCTTTTTTGAAGAGAGGAACTAGATCAGCTCTCTTGCAGTCCTTTGATAATTGTCCAGTGCTCCAGGATCTTTGAAATATAAGGTTCAGTGGTTCTGAGATGATGACTTCCAGCTCCTGTTTAATCCTGCCACAATAAGGATCTGTGTCTTTGGGAAGAGAGGCTCCCTATTCCCTTAAGATACGAATGCACATTGTACAGTCAGGCTCTTTACATCCCAGCTGAGATGTTGTCAGTGCTAGCTTCAGGGAAAGGTTTCTAGTCTTATCCAGTATTAATATTTTAACTATCCCAAAGGTGAGAAACAGGTCAAATTCTATTAGCCTTTGCTTAGGGCTCCAACATGCAAAGGGAAAAACATGACTCTCACAAAAGAAAAGGGGTGGGTGGATGAGAAATCACAGAGAGACCATAAGAGGTTTGGAAGGAGAATGCTAAATGCTAATTTTTTATTATATGTATGTATGCATGCATGCATGTGATGTATGTGTCCATCCATAGGCATGCAAGCATACATAGGCATTCTAAGTTACTTGAAGTTGCTTGGTATGATTGAGGTTGTTTAAAAATGTTTAAAAATGAAAATTCAGATATTTTGGACAAACGGATTGTATGCTTACAATGAATCTTGTAAAGGTCATCTGCCCAGTTCTTTGTTCAAACAAAAAGAAATATTGCTGTGAGATTAGATGACTAAATTTGCTTCTTAGAGGTATAGCATCTGTTGTGGTCCGCCAGCAGCCTGCGGAGCTGGCATGGAGTTGGACAGTGAGGAGGCTGGGGAGGAACATGGGCCAGTCCTGGAGTCTGAGGAAGGCCCAGACGAGGGCTCTGTGTCAGAGGCAGAGATGGGGCCAGGGCCATCTGGGAGTGATGTGTGGACTCCGGAGCCTCCAGAGTCGGACAGCAGAAAGGTGCGTGCACGCGCAGAGCTGTCAGAAGGTACAAACAGTTAAAACAAATGGGATGACTTGGGAGTAAGGCCAGGAGATGACTGGCCCCTCCCATAAGACTTAAAAGACGAGCAAAAGCACATGGGAACTTTGCAGGAAAGCAACATTGTTAATTCTGTTCTCAGTCGGCATCTCTGTTTGATTCTGGAATCTGTGTGGCTTTGCCAAGTAGGTCTCTGGCAGAGTGTCAAGGGAGATAAATGTTGGTGATTATCCCAAAGGACTTCTCCTGAAGGACTTTTTGCAACCAATTGGGACTCAGCTGTGAATGGACATAATTCACAGCTGTTGCAATAAAAGAGGTTTTTGGGACTACTCGTGCACAACAGCATCTCATCAATCTTTCATAATGGATAGTTGGGTTTTTTTTCCTTTTTAAGAATTAAAAACATAAAGTAACACTTGGTCTTCTTTAGGGTAGAACTCAATTAGTTGGGAGTGGGTCAAAAATCAACATGGAGTCTTCTTAAAAACAAAGCAACATACCTCTTTTGGGACTCTATTCTCATGAAATTTGCCTTTTCTCTCAAGAAATTTAACCTACTAAGGAAGTTGTTGGGCACAACTGGCTTCTTGTCAGCCTTTTAAATTTCCTACAATATTACTGTAGGTAAACAATAGGTTAAATATCACTGGGGCACAAAGCACATCAAACCTTTATATATGTTTGTATTTGTGTGTCTATTAAAGGTATGGGGAAAACATTGTCTATAGAATTTACAGTTCATATAACCCAAAGTTGAAGTTCAAGGTCATATTCAGCTTGCAGTTAAACTCTCAAAAGATCTACAGCATTGTATTTTTGAGGGAGGGTGAAAAAGATATTCATCCCACTGACACTTATTTCTCTGGGCCTTTAAATTACTGTTATATTACCTTTTTGCTCCAAAGAAAATGTGTCCTTCAAAAGGTTTATGCCTTTCCAGTGAATCATTTTGGAGATTTAAATCCAAGTGGTTTAGCACAGAAAGCTACAATCTTTACAAAGTTGCTCAATAAATGAAGAAGTTATTAGATAGTGAGAGGGAAAAACTATTTTTGCCACCGTTTCAGCTAAGAGAATAGTAGCTCTTCTGAACCTGAGGGATTTTTATTTTTATTTTTTTAAAAAAATCTTGAAATACTCCATTATTCTCTTGTGGCTATACTAAGTTTCCCTTTATCCCCCATTCTCTTTTCAAAGCCTTGGTGATCATATTTTAGGAGCCAATAATATTTTATAAATCCCAAGTGGCATTGTACATTCGTTTGTGTACAAATATGAAGTTTAGCTATTTAAATCCTCAGTTGGCTGCCAGCAATATAATGCTGCTTGAGATAAAGTTTTTCATTGCTTTCCTTGGTCTTATTGCATTTTAAATAGGCTACCTGAGTGACAATATAGTTTACCCCCCCCCCAGTGCTTACCATACTAATTATTTGGCCACCAGAAGTATCTACAGAGTGTTATAAAAGGTCAAGATGGTAGCAACAACTGTGTGATTGAAGACTTAAATGTCTTGCACTTTATGCAACCCACATAAACACCAGTGGTCATTCCAGACTGCAACAAGGCTATGATTTGCAGAGTTGAATGTCTCTTACACTTGCATATTTACTATAGCTGCTAATATCTACCCTGTTTCCCTGAAAATAAGACATCCCCTGATAATAAGCCCAATCAGGTTTTTGAGCACATGCACTAAAATAAGCCCTCCCTGAAAATATTTAAATGCAGAGATGGAAATCAGGTAAGATGGCAAGAGGAGCCTCATCTTGCTCCACATGCCCCAAAATAATAAGACCTCCCTGAAAATTTATTTATTTATTAGTCGTATTTCTATGCCGCTTGGCCTTTCTAGGCCAAGCGCTTATTTTGGGGTTCAAAAATATAAGACAGGGTCTTATTTTCGGGGAAACACGGTAAGTCTACTCTCTTTTTTACTTCTTTTTTTGAATTAGTGTAACATGGGGTTCCCCACCGAATAGTGCAATGGCCTACAGGCAGTGGTGTGATTCAGCCAGTTCGCACCACTTTGGGTTGTTAACTTTCTGAGCAGTTTGGTGAACTGGTTGTTGGAAGAAATCATTAGGGCAGAGAACTGGTTGTTAAATTATTTGAATCCCACCACTGCCTACAGGTGAAGATGCTTGCTTCCCACTCAAAAGGTTGAGAGTTCAATCCTAGACAAATGTCTCTCTATCAGGGCGCAAAGAGAAAACATCTGCTGCAAACTCCACGTAGGCATCAGGCAAGACATCCAGCCAGCAAACACTCAGCTCCATTCAGTTGCCATGGCTCCACCCCGATTAAAGGCATTAAAGAGTCATAAAAAGAAAAAGCATTCTCCAAAGTGGTCAATATTGATACCCAAGGGTCAATAGAATCATCCAAGGGGTCAAAAAGGTCTGGTGGGATCAAAAGAGGGTCAAATTAGTGCTGGAGGATCAAGTGGTTGACAAATGATGTAAGATTAAATGGGGTGAATTAATTTGGGCGGGGGTCTCTATAGAGTTCCATTCCAGTCCCTAGTCTTAAAGGGGAGGTGGCTAGCAGCAAGATAGTACCCTCCAGGGTTGGATAGTCAGCCACTACCACAGCAGCCTTGAGTTGTCTCTGTGTATTGTTGCTGGCCTTGAAGCAGTCATTAAGTGGGAAATCACTGTGACTGTACTTTGCTTTACTCCACTCCACTCCCCACTCTTTTGAAATATTTACCCCAGCTCTGGGATAATTAGCAAGAAGGCAAGTAACATTCGTATTTACATTCATTGGAAAAGAAAGGACAAGAAGAGAGTAAGTAGGCACACAATGGGGAATACACTTGACTGTTTGCATAGTGTTTTCAGGGCTGCCAGAGACATCATATTCCTTTCAATGTGTATTGCAATGACCTCATGGTCACATGATCATGATTGCCAATGCTCTCTGCCAACTTCCCACAAGCAATGCAGAAGTCAGCTGGAAATCAAAAGTTGCTCCTGCTCCACTGCTGTTTTGCCTACCTGTGGGTCATTCTGTTTACCTATTTACATAAGTAAATATTGACTTATTAAATTTTGCTTGCTACTACAATTATTTAAGATATATACTCTTCTTAGATGATAGTATTGGGGGGGAAAATACGATCAGCCTAAAATTTAATGTTTTTTCTGGTTACATCAGATTCCACTACCTTTCTCTCAAAGGATGACCCAAGACGTCACAGGGTTATCTAGTTTATTCTAAAGACAGAATTTGAATTTTGAAATAAGCTAGTCTATGAACCTGATTCAGTTTGATGCAGAAAGTTGTCCTGTTTTGGTTTAGTTCTGTTTTGTTACTATTTAGAAGTATAAAAACTAAAAGTATATTGATGTAGGAAGACGGCTTTTTATTGTATCTCATCTCTTGCACTTAGAGCTAAAGCTGTCAAAGAGTCATTTAATGGGGAGATAGGTGGCATATAAATTAGAATGGGATGGGATGGGATGGGAGGGAAGGGAAGGGAAGGGAAGGGAATAGAATAGAATCCAGGTTGCAAAAATCCAAATGACCATGAGGTTAGTATAGCATTAGTTTTCTGTGCCTCTCAGCTGCCACATGGTGGGCATCTAACTAGAATCCCAGTTTTGATAGTTTCAAGAATATGTAGAACTAATAAAGTATTTGTACTCACAGGCCACCATGTCATGGATCTTCCAGCCAAAAAATAGCCTCCAACTGTTCCTCGACTGGCCCGAAGAGAAGACTAAAAGAAAAAAGAAAAGAAATGCTGAAATAAGGAAAATACTGGCTTGGATTTTAAGAAAATGGAATGATACGACATTCACCGAAAAAGGAGGGAACTACAATTGCTTTTATAAAAGACTTGAACTCCTTTGTGGACTTTTTGCTAAAAATGGATTAAAAAATGAACTGATGATTTTAGAATTTATTTATTAAAAATGTTAGATTAAGAAAAGAAGGTGACAGCCTTACCAGGTAGATCAAACAGGAAACATGGCCAGATAAGCTAATTTCACTTTATTGTAAAGCTACATTAACAGGATCTTGCAAATCTAAAAAGACCATTTTCCCATGGTCACCTTTTCAGCCTGAGGGTCCATCTGAGTCTCTTGCTCTGCCCAATATGCAGCTGTGGGCTCTGCTTCCTCTTATCTGATTGTTCCCTAGACAGCATCTCTTTGCCTGGTTTTCCAAGGTATTCCCACATACCATTACAGAAGGGAACTATAATATATAATTTGGGTAGGTGAATATGATAATCATGCTTATAACTGCTGCTAAGAAGATTGGAACTCATTTCTTTAGATATTTTTATTTTGTCTTTTATTTTCTTATCCTTTTTTTTGCATTCTTTTTATCTTCTTTTTCCAACTTTTCCTTTATGTTTCTGGATTTTTTAAACCTATGTAAAATCTTCTTATAATAAAATTACTTCTAAAAAAGGAAGAAGCATTTAAATAAGAGATTTATTCCATCCCTTCTCCTTTCAGACCTCTAAAAGTGTCTAAGTTGTGGGTCTAGACCAATGTGGTTGGCACTGGGGCTACATTTACACATAAGTGGGCCAGGTTTCAAACACCAATGGATGGGAGTGAATCAAAAATATCAAGATGGTGTATGAAATTATGGGATAAAAGCCCCAACTGCTTTTTTTTATGTCTAACCACAACTGCATAGCTCTTTTGATCTAAGGTGATGTTCCATATGAGTCACAATTGAGATTTTCTCTTTATCCTCCTTGGAGTTGGAATTTTTACTTTTTAAAACCCCTGTTGACTTTGCTTTGGTACTAAAGACAAAAGGGATCTGAAGATCAAAAAAAAATGGGATGCAGGATGGTGTCATATGCAGCTTGGAGGCTTCCCCATCCTTTCCCAAAGAGGGAAGAGGTTCCTTTCCCAAAGAGGACAGCATAAGGAGAAAGAAAGGTAGGAAAATATACCTTGATGAAGTTTTCTACAAGGAAGAAGTGCAGAGAAATGTAAGGAACAGAATCACATGTTTGTTTTACTTGCTCCACCTTTTTTCTTAAACCTTGATCTATTGATTTATTTATGAGTCTTTTATATCACCTCAACTGTATGCAACACATAGCAGGCATGCTTCAATACCTATTCCCTACTGGGGACCCTGGCATTCAAGGTTTTATGCCAGAACACAGTGAACTTGAGAGCGATACTGTCTTCAAGACTGGCACACAATACATTCATCATATAAGGAATGAATACATTCACTGCTATAAGTTAGTGTAGATGGATTGTGATAGATCACTTCGAGGTTTGTATATGAAATGCAATATTTCAGAGAGGAGGTTTGGATTTATCAGATGTTGGGTATGAAAGAGACGGACATGGCTGCTGATCAGGGGTGGGTTGCCCCCGGTTCAGACTGGTTCTATAGAACCGGTAGTAAAACTGGCGGGAGGCTCCACCCACTGACTCCGACGTCATCAGGAAACTTCTGTGCATGTGCTGAAGCGTGCGTGGGCAGCCCCATTGTGAACCAGTAGTAAAGGTAAGTAGAAGCCACCCCTGCTGCTGATACTCTCTGAAAGCAGAAAGTTGGGGTGATGGATTCAGAAAAGGGCAAGGAGGACAGTCTTTCAATGATCGAATATCTCCTTTGCATGCAGAAGCCCTCAGGTTCAATTGCCCAGCATTTCCAGATAAGGGTTGATAACCCCTGCCCAAAAGCTTTGGGAACTATTGCTGGTCATTTGTCAGCAATAGGCTAAATGAATTAATGAGCTGATTTGGTGTAAGGCAACTTCTACCGGTCAGCAACTCTTCTGAAACATATTGTTACTACTGCGATTGCTTCTATAAGCAATGTTGTAGAGCAACAGTGAAAATAAAGAATGCTGTGGAGAATATTCCGCTATCTTCTGTATCTGTGGTATATCAGGAGGAAGGTGTATAAATTCACCTGTGAAACTAAACTGTTGTCTGTGCGATAAATAACATAAATAAGAAGTCTCCCTTTTGCAAAGAGAATGATTTATTTCCAAGCTAGGGTTTGTGTTAGGAAGGGAAAGGCATCAACCTTAATGCAGCTATCAGGCAAAACAAAAAAACAAAAACAAAAAAAATCCCATCAGGAACAAGAAGCCTGTGTCTTTCCATAGGGCCACTCAGAGGTGGTATTCAGTCGGTTCAGACCGGTTCATCCAAACCGGTAGCGGAAATTGCCGGTGGGACCGCCCACCCACCCTGGCTCTATACCATCCTAGTTAGGCAAGTTTTTGAGGCCAGGCGCATGCGCAGAAATGGCACCTGTGAGCAAAGCTAGCTACGCTCACATTTGCGAACCGGTAGGGAAAGTAAATAAATACCACCCCTGGGGCCATTGTATGGTCTACCTAAAGGACACAGACAGACAGACAGACAGACAGACAGAGGTTCCCTAATTGCCAAAATGGCCATTTAGGGGACTTACCCATATTCCTACAGCTAGGACAAAGATGAAATAAATGACAACGACAACGATGTCAGGAACTCCAAAGGCAAAACTTTTTTCTTCAGGCTTGTCATCGAGTGGCTCATCTGGGGCTGATGTCTGGCTCATGATTGTCGAAAAGTGTTGGCTGTTGCCTCTACAGTTCAGACTGGACTTTGGCACGTTTTTCTTTATTACTTTCCCTTAATAAATATTAACAGATTTGAGAAAGCAAAAGTGTTAATGAAACAAGGAGGAAATCTATCCAAATATACCAGTTCTGGGCACTTGATAGCCTTCAGCTTTACTGAGCCCTTGATACAGATCTGGATTATGTTTCTGGTACTTCTGTAATGTGTGAATTAATTGCATAACTTTGTTTTAATAACTAGGAAAATTGCCCACAACTCTATCTTGCCTTATGTGATAATGTGCTGGCATTTCTAATATGTTGCAACAGTTGTACAACTTAAGTTTCTAAAGCAACTCTGGAGAACTTAAAATTTGGAAGTGTTTAATAACGTATCCTTTCTTTTATGTACATTGAGAGCACATGCACCTAGACAAATTTCTTGTGTGTCCAATCACACTTGGCCAATACAAAATTCTATTCTATTCTATAATGAGGGGCCCAACCATGGAAGTAGAGCCATTCACAGCATGGTTCAATATTTGAAATAACCAAATAAATCAACCTGCTGCATTCAAGGAAATTAAACCAAAAAGTGATTTTCCCATTTTGGGTTTCCCTCCAGGCATTCCTTTTTACAGGATTAAGATTAGCCCACTAAAAAAATACGAAGAAAAATTGCACAGTTTGTACTGGAAAGGAAGATAGATAGCATGCTGACAAATGAATTATTCTCAAATTCTGGAGAAAAAAATCCCCTGCCTGCCATTCAAGTTGATAACTATGAAAGGGATTGTGAAGATCCTTTAAAAGAGGTGTTTTGTCACACATAGTAGTATGGTGATGTGCAAGTAGTCAGACCCAAAATGGAAAGGAGACTTTGGAGGGGAAAGGTGATCAATGCATCTTTGGGAACCACCTTAAGCTTGTTTCTGGGTTCATACAGCAGCTGAACCAACATCTCCCCCAAAACACTGCTTTGGATACAAATAGGTGCAAATTCCTACAGTGGTGCAAATGAAGCATTTCTCTTCAAATCATTAAAACAATTCCATCCCCCCCCCTTCCCGACTTCTGCAATTATTTTGGCAGCTGTTCCCAGCTGATCCCAAACATTTGTTCAGGCATGGTCATTTTGCTTTGCATTAGTCCCAGCCTTCCTGAACTCACAAAGTTACATTGTCTTACTGTACTCAGTGAGATTTAATTTGTAGTGAGTAAATATTAGAGGAGTAAATTATAATGTATCCATCCTAATAAAACAGTTTCAAGAATCGTTTTAGCAACGGTGCAACAGAAAGCAGTATGCATTAACACAGCACCATCTTGTGGGTATAAAGCAGACAAAAGAAAGTTTCATATACAGCCAGAATTACTTTGCTCTGGTCAGTAAAACGTTTGTGTTTTTCTCTTGTGTTCCTGTGTCTAGAATTGATGGCTATCGGAGATGTGTTGGGGATTATTTGCATTTAATCTTCCACGATGTGCCCAATAATAGAAGCACATTACCAGCTGTGAGAAAAACTGGCAGTTAGGGAAAAGACAATCTACAAATTGAGCAAAAATAAATGTCAGTAAGCTGAAAATGTCCTCATCCTGACAGCCTACCTAGCATCAAACTGGCTTATACTTGTCATTATTCAACTATCCACTTTTTTTAGTACAAGAAAATTGATCAAATGTTTAATCTCTCTCTCTCTCCCATTCCCTCCCTCTCTCCCCCCTCTCTCTCCCTCTCTCTCTCATCTATCTATCTATCTATCTATCTATCTATCTATCTATCTATCTATCATCTGCCAGATTTTTAATGAAATGTTTTAATGTTGCTTTTAGCCATGTTATCACTTTCACTATATAAAATACATCAAAATGTAAAACAGCATGTTTTACTGCAGAATTTATCTGAAGTTCTGAAGTCAGACACGAAAGTATATTCTGTTCCCTGTTCTATTTGTCATTTGCCTCTTCTGGAGTTTTTTTCAAAAACCCTCTTGGTATCTGAATCACAAACAAACATTCTGCAGTGTGGTCAAAAAAAGTCAACTTGGCAGCTACCACAGTATGATTAAAACAACACATATAAAAACAGGTGGAGCTTTGATTGCACTGTCACAATTGCCATCTCCGTGTTTGTTATTTAATTGTATCCTGAAGACACTCCTGGATTTAATTTAATTCTAGAAATGTCAGAAACCACAGAAAAGTCTGAAGCACTACTCTTTCTTTTGTGGTGTTCTTGTTCTGCCCTTCCAAATACAAGTGTCATTAGAGATATAGAAGATTACCAGAGACTCATCTAACTCACCTTCCCCCTCTTTGTATGTAGAAATGACCCTTTCTACAAAGAATGCTATCAAGTAAAGAATAATATAATCCTGCAAATTTTTGCAACCGATCCTACAAGTTTGTGACAATGATGAAAACATAAATATCATTCTTAAGCATAACAGAAGCATAGGAATGCTATGCTCTTTTTAATAAGCAATTAAAGAACCCAAACTTTCATCCTGACACTTACTTCACCACCACCACCACCATCATGATCAGCTGTTCCTGAGTAGCACAATACCTTGAACTCTTTTCCTTCCTTTGCTTGGCTTTTTTCTTCTCAGTATTATGCCTGACTTGCATCATCTCAGTTTTGGTTCATGTCAAAGTGAAAGGAAGCAATAAACTGGCCCGGGAATCCACCTTTACATTCAAGGTTATGTGCACTCCTTCCTGGTACACCCTCCTTCTCTCAGCTGAGTTTCACAACTTGATACTTGGCTGAATGACATTTGCTTTGCCTTGCTTATTTATCACACAGTGCCAACTTCTGTCAAAACCACCCACCCAGAAAAACTGGCCATTGATCATTTCAGCCAGTGTGCTCCACCTAAGACTTTCATCTTTGTCTGGTTGCATTTTATTTCAAAATAGACAGAGAGCACCTTTAATATGAAGGCATTCAATGTAAATGTGGTTCTACATAAACAGGCAAAATAATTGAGATTGACTGAGAATTCAAAGCAAATTCAAGACATTTGTAGTATGTATTGGCAGTGGGGGGACCAGGGCCACAAATGGCCCTCAGAGAAGGGGGGGGGGGTTGGTAGCCTATGTGGGTACCCCAAATACTTCTGAAATACATTTCTCTCTCAACTCTATTATGAATTGTGTTCCCCAAAGTCCTTTCCAGATTCAGCTCTCCATGTGATCTGGGATTTATTAGAGTAATAGCCCATTTTACTAGAATATGCAATGCACACAGTTCAGAAAATAAGATCAGAATTAGAAAAGAGGAAAAGAAATGAAGAAAAACATACAGTCTGTTGAAGAGCAAGGAGAAAACAGTAATCCTGTTCTAATGCTCTAAAATAAGTATTTATAAGTATAAAATAAGTATAACTTATTCTTAAATTGTTCCGTTCATTATAAACCAGAACATATGATTTGTGCAATTTGGAGAGTGGGGGGAGGGGGGAGAGGGAAGGAGGTAGGGAGGGAGGGAGGGAGAGAGAGAGAGAGAGAGAGGGAGGGAGAGAGAGGGAGAGAGAGAAGAATACTTAAAGGAGATAATAAGCAACATGGAGAGACTAGTACCCACATTACTAGTCTTTTACCTCAACATAAACAGCCTGCAACACAGATAGCAGTGGAAGCAAGACTTTATAATTGTGACTGATAAAGAGAAGAGAAGAATGTGGTACTAAAGCTATTTTGCTAGCTACTGTGGGAGAAAGACCATACAGTACATATAACACTAATGCCACAGAATTCTGATAAACTGAAATAACTAACAGAAGGGTTCAGTGACTTCAGAAAAAATGTTATAGACAGATACTGGTTTTAATCCAATACCAAGAGGAAGAGAGAGATTTTTACATCACAGAAGCCATGACTCATGACTCTGGCATTCATACAGAGCTTTGGAGAAATTAAAAGAGTCTTTGTATAAGCTAGTGCTAGGTATTCCTTGAGAGGAATACCTAGCACTAGCCTATACAAAGACTCTCTCCCTATTGCCAGTGAGAAATTAGAGCTAAATTACTTTTGTTTAAAAAAATTAGATTGCAAATACACAGAATTCGTTAAACCAAGAATCAGCACTCTAGCATTATCCACGTATACAGAGCAGGTTTATAGGTTTGAATTTCTGGACTGTGTGGTTGTGATAGGAAAAAAATTGAAAATTTGACTTTGTTTTTGTTGATTAGAAAGGTTCATCGTTATAGAAATGGCTAGTATATACTATTGTATAAAAGTAAAAAGTTGGGCTTGTAATGTTATTATTTTCTACTGTGCCAAAGAGAGATAGAAGTCAATGCTTTTTTCTTTCCTTTTTCCTTTCCTGCCCCACATTTTCTCTTTTTCCCTTTTTCCTTCTCCTAGTTTTCCATTACTTTTTTTTATTTATTTATTTTATTTATTTAATTAAATTTATATACCGCCCTACTCCCGAAGGACTCAGGGCGGTGAACAGCCATAAAATAAAACATATAGATACAAAATTTAAAACAGAGATAAAACCGATTAAATAAATTTGGCTGAACCATTTTAAAACCCCAATAATTTAAAACCAAATTTAAAATTCCCATTTAAAAGAGGAAAATTTAGGTCAGGCCAGCTTGATGAAATAGGAACGTCTTAAGCGCGCGACGGAAGGTACGCAGATCCAGGATCCTCCGTATCTCCGGGGGGAGCTCGTTCCAGATAGTAGGTTCCCCCACAGAGAAGGCTCTCCCCCTGGGGGCCGCCAGTCGACATTGTTTGGCCGACGGCACCCGGAGGAGCCCCTCTCTATGGGAGTATACTGGTCGGTGGGAGGCTATTGGTGGTAGCAGGCGGTCCCATAAATAACCAGGTCCTAAGCCATGGAGCGCTCTGAAGGTGATAACCAAAACCTTGAAGCACACTCGGAAGACCATCGGGAGCCAGTGCAGCTCGCACAGGAGAGGCGTTACATGGGAGCGCCACGTCGCTCCCATCACCACCCGCGCGGCCGCACTCTGCGCCAGTTGGAGCCTCCGAGTGCTCCTCAAGGGGAGCCCCATGTAGAGAGCGTTACAATAGTCCAGACGGGAGGTGACGAGGGCATGAGTGACCGTGCGTAACGAGTCCCGATCCAGAAAGGGACGCAGCTGGCGGATCAGGCGAACCTGATGAAAAATCCTCCCGGTCACGGCTGTCAAGTGCTCTTCTAAAGACAGCCGTGAATCCAGGAGGACACCCAAGTTGCGAGCCTTCTCCGTGGGGGCCAATGATTCACCCCCAATAGTCAGCGATGGCATCTTTTGTGGATGGATCCTTTTGTATCTTATATTCTGATAAAATTTAATAAAAATTTGACAAGTAAGATTTTAAGGACTAAAAATCAGGAATCTAGCAGACCATCTCTAAGTATGGGATGCTGTGTGGAAAATAAATATCTGGCTTACAACAAAAACTACAAAAGGTTGGGGGAAAAAACAACCAATTCAATATTTTTTGTGTCTGCGTTTAATAGGAAAAACAATACCATCATTATACAGTGATGAGTATTCTACAGGCTTCTTATTTAAATTAATTTAAAAACTGAGCAATATGACCTCAATGTTTAAGTACTTCAATCCAGAAGAACACTTGATATCATAGTGTAATACTTCAGAAATTGGCATTACAGCAATAATGATGCTGAAGCACCAGCAAATAGCTTTTATTAGTAGAGTATAAACTGAAATTTAAGGCAATACACACATGTTAAAATGTAGTTTGTAGCAGTATTGACTGCAGTATTCAGAAATGTTGTTAAAGCAATACACAGTAATGCAGTAATACACAGTAGGAAGATGTACTTAAAGCCTGTTTCATAAAGCATGGAATAACATTTTATTTTCAGCAATAGCCCTACAATATCTCCCCAGAGAAAGTGTACATTTTTAAATTAAAATGGAAATTCCCACACAAAACATCTCATAGGTATTCTCAGTGTTATGGAAAAACTGAATCAAGAGTCAAGATAGCCAAAAGAACATTTTTATAAGCAACTGAGACTCCAGGGAATTCTTACCTGGCTGTACTGAAGCACTGCAATACACTTACCCTAATATTAATTGGGTTAGGGAGACACATTGGCAATTGTATTTGAAGACATAAATGAATGATGTCATCTTCAGATCACCCCTGATCCATCATGAAGGCAGCATGAACTTGTCTTCTTCTGTTCCAGTTCTAAAGTGGTGTTTTCAAGCATTTCTGGCACAAACTAGGCCATACAAGCTATTTATAGCTCTACATATCTAAATATTCTTTGGGGCTCCCGGCTCCTATTAGCCCCTCTGGTCTTTGGCCATTGATTTTCAGGGCTTTCAAGACTCTTGGCAATGGGAGAATCAGGACTCACCCACTGTGCCAATAACTCGTCTTTCTTAGTCCTCTTGCCTACACAGCCAGGCCTAATAACAGATCCCTAAATTATCTACGCTGAGAGGAATGTTAAGAGAAGTTGTGTATCTTGGGTGGGGAAGCATCTCTTTAGCCATCAGCAATTCTACCCCACAGTAGAGTTTTACAAAATCATGGAACTGTCAAAGGGAGAGAAGTGGTGTAGTACTTGAAGTTGTGATGGGGATTATTTGATGAGGAACAGGGTACAATATTTTCCCTCAAATGAATAATTGGTACTACTCATCTGAGGGTTTATACACAGTTCCAGCCATTGAAATATATAGCTATTCTCAACTGATTTCATGTGCCTACTCATAAAGCCAGGATGTCAACAGAGTCTGTTCTTGTTTTTCTTGTTTCTCCTGGAAAGGATTTGAGTATAGCTTATGAGGAAATACGCTCCAGTCAAAATCACTTCCTGGTAAAGTACAAGAGTTAAAGAACAGCTCTGCTCATATTATTTAATGCATTCACTTTTCCAGCCTCAAGGAACTCAGAACAGTAATTTAATATGTCTCATATATTCTTTCCCCTCTTTTCCTCCCTCCTTTTCCCTCATGGATACGCAGAGGCAAGTTCTATAGGTAAGCAGGGATATAAAATCTGTTTCTCTAGACAAATCCAATTCTTAAGTCCCTACACCACATTGGTTTTCACTAAGCCTAACCCTAACCTTAAGGTATGGCAGGCAGCACAAAAGTAGTCCAATAGTAGTCATCATTCTGGTTATTTCTAACGAGTCATCTCTTGATTGTGCAGATAGTAAGCAAAAAGAACTCAAATATCTACCAAATCAGCTTTTTAAAAAAGCTTATATTCCAACCTTTCTTTGAATGGACTTTAAAACACTGTCCTTTGACTTGTGGTTCATTTATAGGCATTTATAGGCAGTTTTGTAACTTACCGTAACTCAGAATTGCCAATTGCAAAAAGCTCAAAAGTTTAACATATCCTTGTTTGTAGCAATTCAGTAGCCTTTTTCTGAACTCTGTGCTTTTTGCCTTTTTCAGTTATTATATCTATTACAGTATACTTGAGTTTATGGTTTTATTTGCACTGAAAGCATTACATAATAAGAGGCAGGCATAAGAAGAGTTTAGCTGGATGAAGAATGTATGTTCAGAAGTGGGACTGGAGGATAATAGCCTCCTTTCTGAGGCAGCTGGTACTTAAGTTATGCTGCGTATAAACCAGAAGGCAATATTCATCTATCATCAATGATTCAGAATCCCCTATTGCCAAATCCTCTTTT